CCCTCAGCGCCATGGCCGCTCCTCCTCACATCCTCACACGGCGCGGCGCCTGTGCCCCTTCTGCTCTCGCTCCCCGCGCCCCTCCGGGCTCCCTCAGGCCCGCTCCCGTTTCTCCGCTCCCAAACCCGGGCTGATCCCGGGAACGGCAGCTTTAGCCATGGTTCCTCAGGGTGGACGGGCAGCGGAGGAACACGGCAGAGGAGCCAGGCTGCTGCTGCACCTGCTCACAGCAGCTGTGCTCCCCACCTGTGCGCATTCCACTGGGACCTGGCTGGTTTTTCTGTTCTACTCACACTGTTTGGCAAATAGCTGCTGTAATGCTTCCTCTGACTCCCAAGTTCAGAGTGCTGATCTCTGAATCTGCCCATCCACAGGAAACATCCTTGGTCAATGATTAAGCTACTAAAAAACCACTGCAGGATCCAAGCTGCTACACACAACTACGGAAAAATAACTTCCATTTACATATGGAATTCCTTCTGTTGCTTTTTGGGACGTTGGCACCCAGAAACATCCACTCCTGACAGACACTGAGGGATCCCAAGGGGTATAAAACACCCCCATCACCATACAGAGACTCCTGACCTGGGCACCTGAAGAGCCTTTAGACAGCAGGAGGTGTGAGGTTTGGCTCTTTGGTTACCCTGATCCTGCACATTTTTTCCTCATGGATTGATAACGCAGGTTTCAGGTGGATTCCAGATAGATACAGTGTTTACTGAGATTAAGGAATGAAAACATGGGGGGAAAAAAACACCTACCTAGGAATAATTCTACAGAATTACAGGATTCTGTCAAGTAATTTGATTACATCTTTTAGGAGTCTATTCATTACGCTTCTGGTGGCAACAGCTCAGGATAATGTTGGAAAACTTGCTATAAGCATAGTCAGCCTCTTTCTCCAGCTGTAAAACTGGGCAGTTTTAATACTTCACCCAGGAACACCAAGAGGTAAAAAAACACAATCGATTCCTGTGCAAAAGTACAAAACACCACAATTACGGACAAGCAGGAATTCAGATTTTGTTCTGCAGCTACAGAGCTGCAATAAATGAAATCACATGGAGGGGAAATACCTTAGGGTTTGGTAGATCAAGCTGCACTGTGATTTATGCTCTGGGAAAAGCTAGTACCATGCTTTTAATGGATAAATTTAGCTTCTAGGGAGTGCTCAAACCCAGGAGTTACACACCAACAGAGAGGGAACGTGCAAAAGAAGGAACTGCACAGCAGCGGTGAACAGGAGATGCCTGCCACAAGGAATCCTGCAGTGACACAGGGATTAAATTCCTCTTACACACATTTAGTAAGAGGCTTACACCACTCTACTGTAGTAGTGATGCAATCTGCACCCCCAGTGAGCACCACCCGAGCACACTACACTTCCAACCACAAAACCTCTACACCTTTGTGTTAAAGCCAATCAGAGGATCCACCTTTGCTGACTAAACATGTGTCACCTTCATCATCAGCACCTCAGTTCTTTCCTTATTGTCTTCCTAATTCTTTTCCTTTGACAGCCTAATTTCTTTTAATTTGGGAAATTTACTCCTGGGTTACTGGTCTGAATCTACATCGTACTGGCAGCAAAGCAGGAGGAGCTTTTTTTGATTACAATGTGAATTTTGTTTCACTTTTGGCCTTCTCTCCTGTAATATGCCGGTAATTAGTGACTTGTTTGAAATGAAAACTCTGCTGGGAAATCTTAGAAGGGATTAATAGCCATCAATCACCTTCTACAACAGTCTAATAAGCACTTTAGCTGTCTCTCCTCCTTAGACACCAAGGAAGCTTATGCTGAGATACCTACAAATCCCTCAGCACTAACTCTCCTTAAAATTTTTTCCACTTCCTTCCAAAAGTGGGTGGGTTAGTGCACTAACTTTCCTCTGCAGCTGACACATCTTATTTATGCCTTCCCTAATTAATGCTGGGGTTTTTTTTTTAACTTTGGCTTTCTAAAATTGGCCTCAGTTATATTTGTTGTGTCTCACACAAGGGTTGTTAGGTGTGACCCATAAAACTCTGTGACATGACATCACTGTTGTGTGGCACAATGTCCCCAGATCTGGGATGTCACTTCTCACCCACCTTCTCCTTAGCCACCGTTTGAAGATGCACAACTCTTAAACATAAACACAACACTTATTTTATGTTCATTCCTTCCCTCAATTCTCCATCACTGATTTCTCTGAGTGAGCCAATTGCAGCAGCCAGCAAAAACTGCAAATGAGAGCCCATGGAAAGAGCATGGATGAAAGCAAAGGGGCAGGTCCTTTCCCCTCCTCAGTCTCTGGTGATTTGCTTGTATTTAACAGATAATTAATACATTTAAGTCAGAAGAGACTAATTTATGTTGGCTGTGCTCCAACTTTACCTTTTTTCTTTCAGTGGAAAAAGACCTCTGTCCTCAGAGCTCTGCACATCACAAAATAGGCACGTCAGGTGCCAAGGTAAGGCTTCTTCAGGACTCCTGATTCTCCAAGGCTCCTGATACTTATTTTCCAAAAAGACTAGATAAACATAGAGAAATACTTTAATGAGGGTTAATCATGTTCACATAAATAAATAACCCCATTCTTTACCAGCTGACACAAACTTTCAGAATTTTCCCCCTATCCAATTCTAGGCAAATTCCTTCCCTTCAATACAAGCATTTTTGTGAGTTCTCCTGGAATTAGTGACTTGGTTTGGCATTCACTCCACGTGGCTCCAAATATTAGTCATCAAAACACCTCTTTGAAATTAGGATTTAACAAATTCTAATTCATGTTTAAAATCTATAAACTGCACTTACAGTTATTATAGGTTTCTTTTAATCTCAGTTTTGTCATCTCGCCCCCCAAAAATTCAACTTCCCATGTTATTACTGCTTCATCACAGTAAGATTCTTGTAGAACTCTGGCATATGGAAGATGTATTTTGGGATAATTTCCCAAGAGCAAAGTAGTTGTGCATTTTAATACAACTTGAAAGTCACAGGAGTATCCTGGAAGGTTTTCCCTGAGCAATAAAGGAAAGGGCTTTTTCCAACTTTTGGGAGAATTATAAAGGTTTTAACAGAAGTCAGTGTTTGGTGCTAGGAAAAGAGAGAATGATGTAGGAAATCTTTTCCCCTGCATTGTTGCACAGCTTTGGATCTTTCTAGAGTATAAAATATGTATCATTTATTACTCAAGATACTGCTCAGTTCCCCAAACATGCAGAATTTTCATTGCACTCAGAACATCAGTAGGGGGGAAAAAAAGGGCATGGATCAAGATTTCCATCCCTGGTGGTGTTCCAGGCCAGGCTGGACTGGGCTTGGAGCAACCTTGTCCAGTGGAAGGTGTCTCTGCCCTCTATCAGTTTAAAGCTATTCCTTTTCCTACCACTGTGGTTCCTGATGAAATTTGGCTGGCCATGATATTCTGCATGGAATCAGGACTTAAGATTTTGTTCTTTGTGCGTCTCTTCCAACTCAGGATATTCTATTATCCTGATTATTTATTACATCGTAGGTATTCTCTCTTTCAGTGTAAGCACAGCTGTAATTGTGATTGTAATTAAATGTTAATTTTGGAGCCTGGGCTTTATTGCAGTTACAAAATCAGGAGTGAAAAGTGTACAGCTTCCACATTCCCCATCCGTGTGAGTGAAATTACATTTTCCTGACGTGTATCGTTTGCAGCATTTCACACAGACAAGTGTACATTTTAAGCCTGTTCTCCCTTTAAGTGTACAAATCGAGGATTTGTTGCAAAATGTGAAATATGCAAAATTTTCTGAAGGTTCTTTTTAAGTTTTGGGGAAGTTAATAAAGCTTGGTAAGAAGGATGTACCAATGATAGTGGACACAAAGAATGCAGAAATCATGGGCCACAAGGCCATCTGACAGAACTTCAAGATAAGGAACACACTAATAAAGCCAACTCAGCAATTGTTCTGAAATCAGCTCCAACTGGGTTAAAGGTAATTAGGGCAGGGGCAGATCGTGACCACTGATGGATCCAAAACACAAGACTGAGCATGCGGATTAAGCAACTTGTAGCCAACGAACATTAAATCATTTGCTAAAATGTATAAATAGTAAGAAATGTTGATAGTTGGTGTGTTGGCTGTGTGGATTTGCCACCCAGCACCGGTTTCTGCGCAGAACTGTAAATAAATCAAATACCTCGACTCTGTGTGTGGATTGGCTTCTTGTTCACCAGCTGCAAGAACCTATTTTGGCAACATCGTGTTCCTGCTTTATCTGCAGTGACCCACAAACCCCGGCGCGGGTTCATCAACGCCTGAGCAGCCGCTGCGCGTTTGGACACAGACCATCAATGACAGCTCCCAGCGCAGCCGAGCACACACGGGGAAGCTGCCGGGGCGGCACAGCGGTACCGCAGGCCGTGCCCAGCCCGTTTCCCTGGCAGATGCCGGGGCCGCAGCTCCACGGCCGCTCCCTACAACCGCTGCTCGCACCGACCCCGCCGTGACCGCGCACGAGCCGCCGCCGCCGCCTCACACGGCGGTTCCTGCGCCCCTCGCGCCGGGCACGGCCCGGATCAGCCTCTGCCTCGGCTGCTCGCAGCGGGGCCGGCGCCCAGTGCCGTGAGGGGAGCGCGGAGCGGGCGCGCAGGGCAGGAGGAGGAGGAGGCGGACGCGTCCCTCACAGCCCCGCGTCCGCCATGGCCGCCCCCGCCGCCTCCGCGCTGCCCCGGCTCCGCTCCGCGGTCGCGTGTTCTCGCCCGCTCCCCGTGCGCTGATTGGCCGCGAGCGCCGCTCTCGCGAGACCCGCGCGCTTGCGGCCCGGCGGAGGCGGCGGAGGCCCCGCGTTCGTGCGTCGGAGCGGCCCCGGGCGCGCGCGGTAAGATGGCGGCGGGGGGGCCGCGCCGGCCTCGGGGCACGGCGGGAGCGGGGCCCTCAGCCTGACCCGGACCCGCCTGCAGCGGAGGCGCCGGGCCTGTGGCGAGCGGGCCCCGATCGCTCCCGTGGCCCAGCGCCTCTGTGGCCCGCGCAGGGCCGGGCCGGGCCGGGCCAGCGGGGGAAGCCGGGTCTGCGGCGAGCCGGGCCGCAGCACCAGCGCGGGGCGGCGGGAGCCCCGTTCCCCCAGCGCGGTTGCGGGCGGCGGAGCGCGGGGCCGGGAGCGATCGGGGCCCGGGCGGGTCGGGCTGCCGCTGTCGGAGCTGCCGGGTGCGGGCCGGCTTCGGCCGCGGGTGAGAGACGGGAGAACCTGTTGGAAGCGGCTGGCGAAGAGGAGTCGCGCTGCCGCTCGTATTGTCTGGCAGGGCTGGCGGTGCCTGTTGCTGTTGTTGTGGCCGCCTGTCGTCCTCTTTCGTTGCCCCCGTGGTCGTGACTTGGAGGTAGAAATCACTACTAAGCGCGGCTTTGGTAAAATGCTTTGCCTGCCAATCCGAACAGAAATATTGTCTAGAAAAATAGTGGAGATAACGTTTTAGTAGCGCTGACAGGAGAACTTTCAGGGACAGCGAAGCTGAGCTGGTGTAAAGCTTTGAGTTGTACACTGGGCAATATATCGTGGACAGTTTTGTAGCTGTGCAATATAGGGAGCTGTCCGAAGTTTTGGTGAAGATTTAAAGCAGATATTGTTTACGTAGGCATGGCTATAAGTGTTTGTCACTGTCTTTCTGTCTGGCTGTCAAACTTTGATTCGCTGGTTTCACACTGATGCTGCATGTCCTGTGTAAATTCTATACAAGATTTTTATGGAGTGGATTTAAGAGTAAGTAGAAGAAGATGGTATTTGAATTTTTTATTCTGAGGTTTCTGAAAGCAGCTTTACAGCCTGGCAAATAGATATGGGAGAGTGCAGGAATGAGGAGGAAAAAAATGCAAAACTCTGGTTTAACATAAGTGTCAGTTTTGGATTACTAATTTAAAAGAGCTCATAGAAAGCTCTAAAGATGGCAATAACACAATTCTTACACACATTAAACTTATTTCTTCTTGAATCATGTTAAATGAGATGCTTTTGTTTTGTAGTTGGAGTCCAGGATGAGTTATGCAGAAAAACCTGATGAAATCACGAAAGATGAATGGATGGAAAAGCTTAATAACTTACATATCCAGAGAGCAGACATGAACCGCCTTATCATGAACTACCTTGTCACAGGTAAAAACACCTGCTCATGCCTGGAGGCTCTTCATGTGTGTCATACTTTATCAGTTTGGGGTAGAATATGGAACTGGATGGAGTGGAATTAAGGGCTGTGAGAACTTAGTCATTGCTGTTGGCTTCTTTTAGCAAAGCCCAGCTGCTCTGGTGTTCTCTTAGCTTCAGACTGACAAAGAATCAGAGACTGAGCAGTTCTCGTGGAATACAGGTGACATTTATGAGCCTGAACTCTTCTGCTAAATGCTAGAGAAAACAAAGTGTTTTCTGCAGTGCTGTAAACATGACCTGCTTCTCCGTGATGTCCTTTTTGTGCCATTGAAACAGCTCAAGATAAGTTGCTGTTGTTAAATAACAGTCTGAAAGCTGCAAGAACAACTATCAGAAGCAAGTTTTTAACTGGGCAGAAAGATAAACTCTGAGAGGGCACTGTTGTCAAAATAATTTGGGACCAGAATATTAACCCCTTCAGCACACGGCCTGGCTTTATACTTGGAGCAACCCAAACCCCTGTGGAATTGTTGCCAGTAATTAGGTGCATGCCATCCCGGGAAGCTGTGCTAGGGCGGAGGCCTTTGTACCATCTACACCCCTGTTTACACTGAGCGTAGTGAGGCCTCTGGGTTGAAGGAAGAGCATCTCAGTGGGTGGTGCAAATCAGTTTTGTGTCTGTGAATGCAACACCTGGGGTTGAAAAGAGCTGTTATAACCTGAAATACTACACAAGAAAGCAGAATTATATCTTTTTGTGTATCTTCTCAGAAAAACTGCTGGATCTGTGTAAACAGATCTGGGGCTGGAGGGCGAAGCAAAACCACCCACTTGAAAATGTGACTTTCACAATCTCATTTTGCAATAAGCACTGTGCTTTATTTAAGTATAAAACAGGCTTCCATGTTAAGAGGTATTGGACTACAAGTTGCTTCCCTGGAGAGTGAGCATACATGAGTTCAGAATGAATTAAGCATTTACTCTAAAATGCCTTTTGGATAAATGACTTCTTATATAGAGGAGAATTTTTCACAATTTAGGGTTAATCTTTAAACCTCCAAATTGCACCAACAACACTCACATTAAACTGATAGGTTTTCTTCTAAAGTGTTTCATGCAATACATTCTATGGGTAAAATGTTCCTATTTCAGAGGGCTTTAAAGAAGCAGCAGAGAAATTTCGGATGGAGTCTGGAATTGAACCCAGCGTGGATTTAGAGACTCTGGATGAAAGAATAAAAATCCGTGAGATGATCTTGAAAGGGCAGATCCAGGAAGCCATTGCATTGATAAACAGCCTCCATCCAGAGCTGCTGGATACCAACAGATATCTCTACTTCCATTTGCAGGTGAGCACAGGTGGCAGACTTTTATCTTTGTCTCAGAGTTTGCTGAGAGAATGGGAAAAGTAGTGAAGAAATTCAAGTTATGTTAGGAAGTTTGTGACCGAACATGGATGCAGCTGTGGGTGTTCTTGGCATTTTTTGGTAGCAAGGGGAAACTTTGTGGCATGGTGCAGGAGCCACTATATACAGTTATTAACATGAAAACTTGTAACAGCAGCAGTGACCTTGTGACTTACCAGCTTCCAGTTGCTGTTGGCCTGAATTCCTTTAGTAACCCATCTTCTCAAACCCTGTTAGTCAAAAGCACCAAGTTCTCTTTTTCAGTAGCTTTTGCAGCCAAGTTGCTGCTCCTTGTCTCACACATTGAGAAGAATTGACCTCAAACTGTCAAATTACAGATTAGTATTTGTCTCAAATTACACACCAGTGTCTGAATCTTCCAGGCTTGCAATAGTGAAGATTTGTTAATTTATTGGGCTAATATTGCTGTGTCTTTCGTGTGTAGCAACAGCACTTGATTGAACTGATTCGGCAGCGTGAGACAGAGGCAGCTCTGGAATTTGCTCAGACCCAATTAGCAGAACAAGGGGAGGAGAGCAGGGAATGCCTGACAGAAATGGAGCGCACGCTGGCTCTGCTTGCCTTTGATAATCCCGAAGAATCACCATTTGGAGACTTGCTGAACATGATGCAGCGACAGAAGGTAGTCCTTTCTCAAAGGGAACTGATGTCTTTTATACGTATGTTATGAAAATAAAATCTAAATATTTTTGAAATGCTCAGAGAAAACTTATATAGTGATACGCAAAAGAACAGAAGTGTTTATTGAGCAGGATCTAAAAAATGGTGTTAATATATTCCAAATGTATTCAACTGCTTGGCTCTCTTCCTTGCTTTCTCCAGGCTTATAGTCTGTGGAGCTGTGTCCTGGCCATTTCTGAGGAGTTAGCACACTAGGTGTGATCTTCCCAGTGCCTGTGTGACTTTAGCAGTGTTAGTCGTATGAAAACTGTCACTGAACTCTGGTTTTTCTTTTCCAGGTATGGAGTGAGGTTAATCAAGCTGTTCTAGACTATGAAAATCGTGAATCAACACCCAAGTTGGCAAAATTACTGAAACTACTACTGTGGGCTCAGAATGAGCTGGACCAGAAGAAAGTGAAATACCCCAAAATGACAGACCTCAGCAAGGGGACGATTGAAGAGCCCAAGTAAAATGTGTGCAGATGGACATCAAAAAATCTTAGTACTGCACAGTATACATTTATATCAGTCTGTGACTGAAATATTTTTACTACAGTACAGCACTCAATTCAGATTTTTCAATGAACATCTAATTTGAAGGGAGAAAAGTCCCTTTTAAATGCTGCAAAAACTGCATTGAAAGGCGCTGTATCTCTTTGGAAGTCTGACTTAGGCTATGCACTATAATACATTTTTAAAAAAACAATTAAACAGGACAGGAAAAATAGCATTTTTAAAAGTACAGAACTCAAGCTTTCTAATTGGCTGCTGATGCCTAGTTTAGTGGCCAGTGAGTTAATATGGAGTTATATTGGCAACTGTTCGGTTTAACTGTCTCCTGTTTGAAATGTGTATATAGAACAGTGAATATTTTCTACCTTTAAGTTATAGCCAGATATACATTCCCCTTAAAAGTAACTGGTCAAGTTTTCATCTATAAACTTTGCAGTAAGGTCAACTTTTTGCTTAGGAAATAGTGTACAAACTTGTAAATCATAATTTAAGGACTTTTGGTTTTTTTTCTTCCTTGTTTCTGACTTCTTGGTGCTTTATATGGTGAGAGCTATGTTCATAATGGATCAGTGACCCATCTTTTCAGGAGGAGTATTGATGGAAATAGGTTTTTTCTTATTATTCACAAATGACCAAAATGGCCCCAGAGGCATTTGAGGGTTTTTTTTTAACAGGGGCCTTTTCCCCCCTATGTTAAATTTGCAGCAATTCCAGGTGGCTGCTACAGCTTTGAAGGCCACTGGATGTCTGTAAGCTGAAAGACTCATGTTAGGAGATCAAGTGGTGGGGAGAGATGCTTGTTGAAGCCTCTGATGCATCATCTTGTGCAGGATCTGCCTTCACGCTTGCTGAATAAGAATTGTAGTTTTAGAGCTACTTGGGCTGTTTTTATGCCTTGAGCTAAGCAAAGCAGGGCTGTCTAAAACCAGAAATTTGCATTTTGTCACTTCTTCCATACCTTTCTGAAGAGATGCAGTTCATCCTCATCTGTATTTGTTTACTGACTGTCCTCACTCCAGTTAGAACTATAGTTTTAATGTGAAGTCCAGACTTTCAAGTCAACAAATGGTAATCTTCTGGGTATGGGATGTTCTGGTCGAGTGATTGCAGCGCTGCACACTGGTTTATACCCAGTGGTAGGAAGCACTAATCTTGCCAAATCTATCTCTAGATTTTTAGGTCTGTAGATCAAGTTTTGCCAAGCACAGAGCAAGCTGATGAGTGAAACAGTTTAACATTATGAGACACTGGCAGTTGTCACACCAGTCCCATACTGTACATAATCTAGTCTTGTATGGTAGGTATTACCCTGTAGAATGAAACTTAGTTTTCACTTAATTTTACTGGAATACTTAATGCATTAAACTGTATAAAGCTTTGCAGATACACCTGGCTTAGGGGAACTAACAAAACATGTTACTGATTGCATTACTGTGAACACTGTTTACTTGTGTAGCTATTTTTGGGGGGGAAGCCATTGTTTGTTAAGCAGCTGTGAGAGATGCAGAGCACCAAGGTTAAGCGAGATGATGGATGTAACAAAATCATTTGTTCCCATTTCTTACTGATTGTTCTGTTCTTCACTTTGAGGCATTTGTGGTAGGGAGGTCTTCAAGTTTATATATAACAAACAAGCTATCAGTAGCCCCCCAGCTACAGCAGCAGTTTGGCTTTCCTTCACCCAAGCTGGTTATTCTAACACCAAACTTTTAACAGTTGTGGGTTTGGTTGTTTTGGGGTTTTGTTTTGTTTTTTTTTTCCTTTTGAAGTCGATTCTAACACCAAACTTTTAACAGTTGTGGGTTTGGTTGTTTTGGGGTTTTGTTTTTTTTTTTTTTTTTCCTTTTGAAGTCAGTTGATGTCTGAAAACCATGTATAACTTTTAGTTTGTGAGAAACTGTATGGTTAATGTAACTTTGTTTAATAACAAACTGCAGAAACAAAACTGGAATAGCACTAATTTCTTTATGTAGAACTGATCAGCTTTTCCTCTCTGTTCTGACACTTGTGTTGTTGAATCTCCTGTAAAGCTTCTCCCGGGTGAAGTGGAAAGTGGTGCGGTTTTGTGGCACGATGAGCATTTTTCTCCATGAGAAATGCAGTATTACAGCCCTGGGTGAGAAGTTCACTGTCCTTCTAGAATGCTACCTTAATTCCATAGAGTATTTGGGCAATGATTGAGCATAGATTACTTGAATTTCCACTAGCTTGTTGTTTTTTTCCATTAAAAAATAAACACGTTTTTAAGGGGGTTAATATAAAATTAGTCTAGAACTATTTCACTTTGTTTTTATGAACATGCCACATTGATAAGCAGCTTTAATCTGTAAAGTTTTTGGTAACTGCAAGAAGATACTCGAAAGCTATGCATTTTAGAGAAAGCATAAAGGTAGTGATATTGGTACTTCTAAGGATCTTTATATTAGTGTATATAAAATAGTTTGCATATACAAATATAATATATAATCTGTTTGAAATATTCTTGAATGGTAGGGGCTGTGAAACATATTATAATTTATGGAAATATTGTACACAGTAAACAGATGTCTCAGTACACAAATGAATTTTTGTCATATGCATGAGAAGTGTCTTATTTGGTGACTACTAATGAATGGGCTTTTGTTAACCCATTTTTGTTAGATAACCACTTTAACAAATACTATTAAATGCCACTTTGCTCAGTTTGCTTTAGTGTAAAAATACATATTTTGTTCCACTGAATTTAGAACAATATGAAAATAACTTTTGTAAGAAGATTTGTTCCAAACCCAACATTGGCAGACAGATCTGGTCATTAGAGGTGGTGCACTCATCCTCCCCCAGCCTTGTCTTTGGTGAAAGCAAATAAGATTTTTTCATTCATGCTATGGATGTGGAGAAGCTGGATTGTAAAATATCCTGTCTTATACCTCTGCAGAAAGGCTGCATAGCAAGTGTGTTTGATTAGGCTACAAATCTCCCTCCTTTTCCCAAAGCCATCACCTCCCTGTAACTGTCTTTGCTGTTCCCATGTTTTGTTTCTGCCTGTCAGATTTAAGCTAAGCTGTGGCTGCTTCTGTTGTACAAAGGAGGGATTTCGGAAGGGTGGGGGTTCACAGACTTTCCTGAAGATGAAGTTGTGGTGGTACTTGGAAAAATACTTACTGAACTCTTTAGTTTTATATAGTTGGAAAAGCAGAGGCTGCTGCACAGAAACTTAACAGCAGAATTTTGAGTAAAGCATTTCCTCTCAAGACTTTTGAAGAGGCAAACCTACACCTTTAAGCCAGATAAAGTACCTCTCTCTCTTTAAGATGATTTCATTGAAACACTTTCAGCTTCTTCCACCCACATTAAAAGAAAAATTGACAAGAATTCTGCCTCCTTTCCACTCCTTGTAAATACAGGAAAAGCCACTACATTATTCCAGGGTGATTTTATTGTTTTTAATTTGTAAAATTTATGCTTTGTATGCTTGAGTATAAGCTTGAAAGCATTACTTTAAAAAAATCCTTGACTAGCTGAGTGTTGTTCGACTTATTTCAAACCACCTTGTGTCCAAGTGGGTTGCAAAGCTCATTAAATGGAGTTGGATCCCTGTGTGTTGTGTCTTCAAATGGGGCTGCTGCTGTCAGCCACGGCTGAGAGCATCCTTGAGAGCCAGAATAGGATATGGAGTCCTGTTTGCCCTAAATCTGCCTTGAGGCTACAGGTTCTGACCTGCACTGTAGCTCTCTCTTCCCTCCAGAAGCGACACCATGTCAGGAATTGTTTCTGCTCTGCTGTCCTTAACAAAAAGGGACGAGGAGGGCTTGTAGCTTTTGTGTGAGATGGTGTCCCCAGCCCTGCTCGCTGCTGGGTGTGCTCAGCTGAGCACAGACAGAACACAGAGCTCCTGAACAGCACCCTCAGAAGGATTTGTACTTCTCCATGGGCACCTCGAGGTGCTACAAACTATTTTCATTCCTTTCTGCTCCCCTCCTGCCTTCACCTGATCAAGTTTAGCACAAAGTTGCTCAAACCACTGGTGATGCTTTCAGGCACCCCAGACCAGAAAGCCCTTCCTATTCTGTCATGCTCTTCATGAGGATTGCAACATGATTCCAACAATAGTTACATGAGGATTCCAACATTATCCTGCTACCTTATCTCACCTGGATGAGTTGCTGCATGGAAGTTGCTGTTGATTTACAAGCAGGCTCAATTTGCCAACTTCTCTGATAATTTGCTTTTTTTTCGGTGTACTGCTGCCTAGTAATTTTGCCAAGTTGGATTATGTAGCAGTAGAAACCCACATGTTTTCTTTATTGTGTGGAGAAGTTGCATTGAAACTGTGCTGGGTTAGGGAGCTCTCAAGCTGCTGTCACTGTCCTTTCAGGAGACAACAATTATCCTTCATGGAATGCATGAGCCTATTGTTCCTTTCAGGATTTGAACCTAATCTGTGCTTAACTTCATAAAATCTTCAAATAATTCAACCATTGTATGGGTGAACTACAGGGATAGTAAATGTCAGGTCAAATATTAACCCAATAATCTTTTGTTTGGTTTAATCTTTTGACAGATTAAGCTGAACACAGGAAAAATGAGAGGAGGTTGTATTCTTCTGTAAAATTATTTTCTTTAGTCAGCACCTGTCCTCTGAGCTGATTCCATTTGTCATTTAATCAGCTTGGGAGAGGTTTGCTTACAGAAAATCATACAGCAGTAAAAGGAACCGTGTCTGTGTGTTTACTCTTTATTTATGTGAATGTGATGGATGTTGCACTCAAACACTTTCAAGTGCAGCTGGTTTGGACAGTGAAAGTAGCTTCTTATCTGAGAGGCAGATTAGTCAAACTCCTAATTGAAGAGGTGGCACTGAGCAAAACAAGGAAAGGAACAAAAGAGTACAAAAATAATGAAAATTTGTGCTTGATTTCCAACTGGACTACTAACTCACTGAAAGTATGATTCATTGTTGCAGTGTCAGTGTTGGAAGTGTTTGCACCCCTCAGCCCTGAGACTGAACACAGGATCCTTCATACCTGGCTGTGAGTTCATAAGTTTTCTGGATCTGTGGTTACTCTACCATGCCCAAGGCCTCTTCAGTTCTTTCCTGAGTTTATTGCATGGATTTCACTTCTGTAGTTACATCAGAGCCCATCTCCCCTCCTGTCTCAAGTTAACTGAACTCCAAACATACACACAATTAAAAAAACCCAAAATGCATTGTCAGTGGTTTACATTTTTGGCTGCAATTTGCCATGACTTGGCTCCCTCTTCTGGAAAAGGGGACAGTAGCAGAGTGAATAAAAATACTTAATGGTTTCATTTCCTGCCCAAATAAAGGGAGGAAAGCCTACAACTAAGTGAAAACTTAGGTGGTTACTACACATGGTTCCCCTCAGTCTCGACTTGCAGCAAAGCTCGTTGTATTTGTGTTCTCTGTGTGACTGTGCCTGACTATGCCACAGGCCTTTTGGGGAAGACCTCTTTTTTTTTCTGAGGAAGAAATACCAAAGCAAAGAATAAAGTATGACTTGATTGTTGCTTTTTCAGCAACCTACTTCTCTTGGAGCTGTCTTTGATGTGTAAGGAACCTTTTTGCTATTTCACTCTCAAAGGTTTAGCTCAGTAATCAGCCTCCTAATTTACGTAGCAAACCTCATCAGGGGCCTGCCAAGGGATTCATGTTGGGAGAAGGATATCTGAATTACCTAAATATTAGTCTGCTAAAGGCTTCATTCCACCAAGGACTGAGAGGTTTCTGGCTGCAGGAATAGCAGACAGGAGGTGTCTGCCCTGCACCTGCGCGTTTTGGGGCAGCCCAGCAGCTCTGGTGCCTTTCCCAGGGGCCATGCACGACCTTGCTCAGGCTGCGCGGGAGCTCCTCCATCCTTTGCTCACCTGAAGTTTTGCCGTTCCGGCTGCCAGGCTGCAATCGGCCACAGCATCACATGAACGATGTCAAAAGAAGGCTCCTCCAGCCTGCTCGTTCATGATCTTTAAGTGAGTCACGAGTCCTTTTGTTGTGGACTGAGATAACCATCATTTAAATTATTTATTTCCATAAAGGAGTTTGATTATCTCTTTCAGATACAGCAAGGCAGCGCCTCTATCCAAGAGACATAAATCAAACTGTAACAACACTTATCCCTATTTATTTTATCTCGGAAGCGAATGTTATACTCGCTTCTAATCCTTAAAAAGCAGAAGCAGAGACTTTTCTGCCGGCAAACCCGCGAGAGCAGCGGGAGCGGGGAGCGATTCCCTGCCCAGGTATGGGAGCAGAACAGACCGCGGTCCGATCCTCTTTCCGTGCCCTCGCTGTGCCCGCTGGGGTGTCAGTAATGACCGGACGAGCGGAACCGCGCGGTTCTCCGGCGCCGCCACCTGCCCCTCCGCGGCTCGGGGGCTGCCCGGGGTCGCAGACCGGGACCGGCACCGGGCCGGGCGGGACTTCCCGGCACGGCGGGCGGGGGCGGCGGGAGGCGCTGACACGTGGCCGCGGCCCGGCGGGGGAGGGAGCCGGCGGCGGCCGCGATGTGAGCCGGGGAGGCGGAAGGCGCTGCCCGCATGGCCGCGGGCGGCGGCGGCCGGAATGCGCCCCTGGGCAGCGGCCCCCGCGACGGCATGAGGCGGGATGGCGGCACCGAGCCCTACTGGTCCAGGTAAGGCTGGAGCCTCTCCCGCTCCCGGGAAAGCCGCTCCGCTGCTGGCTGCGCTCTCCGGGACTCCCTGCATGCCCCCGGCCGGTGCTCTCCCCGCATCCTCCTTCCCCGCAGCTCCTGGGCAAGATGCGGCTCCGGGATGGAGGGGGTCGGGCGGCCCGCAGCGCTCCCGGAGAGGGGATTTCCGAGAAGCTTGGTGCTCCCCGTCGGGCCGGGACCCTCCTGTCCCTGTCTCCGTCGCTGCCCTCCGGGAGGGACACGGTCCCACCGCCCCGGGCGGTCCCGCTGTCTCACTCCTCCCGACTGCAGCAGAGACGGTAGAAGGAAGGGGGAAGATAGGGAATTACTGTGAAAAACAGGGAGAAAAAAAACCAACTGCTGAGCTTATTTCTGGCCTGTAATCAGTGAATTAAACACAAAACCGCTATGAGGTTCTTATCGAAGTATTGCAGTGGGGATGTTTGTACTGGCCATAGTCATTCATTCATTCAGATAAAGTCTGGAAAAGGAGCTGGGCAGCAGCTAGACAGCACGAGCTGCTGTTGATGCAAAGTCATTAAAATACTTAAAATGCAGTTAAACCGCCAGTGACCACTTCCAACAGCAGGGACACAGGCAAAGGCAGGGTGATGCAGTGTTTGGAGCGGGCTGGCACACCTGGGGCGGTGCTGCTCCTCTGCCACCCTGGCAAAGTCATCCAGCACCAAGACCTCAGGATCAGCCCCTTCTCCCACCTGAGGTGGGATGAGATGATGATTCCAAAGTACCAGTGGGGCAGCTGGAATTCATGCTCAGGGGCTTTTCCAACCTGGACTCCCTGTGCTTGAGAAACCTGGCTCGGTTTCAGCTGGCCGATGTCTGGCTGCCACCGTGGCCAGCCCTGGGGCTCCCCTCTTCCCCTCGCCTTGGGGTCACACCGTGCTGACCTCGCCCTGGCAGGAGAGCAGCGGGACGGCCACAGGACAGGTGGCACCCGTGCCAATGCACAGGGACAGGAGGCCAGGGGGAGGGATTGCCCCTTCCAGCAGCAATAGCCGCTGGATAAACTGGTGTTCCTCATCCATGGCTTTCTGCAGGGGCAGCAGGCTGATGGCCGGCTCTGAGCTGCCGTCCCGAGGGGGGCTCCTCCTGCACTCAGAGATTTGGGATGTCTCATCAAATCCACGCTTAGCTTAAGAGTAACGGGGTGGGACTTAAAGAGCTCCTTTGGCACAGAGGCGCTTAACATTTGAAGATTCTTTCTCCCTAAAGCGCTTAAGAAAATTCCTTCTCTGTCTCCCCCTTGCTAACTTTTCTCTAAGTCTTGTGAAGTGGGAGTGGTGGGACCTCACACCAGATTTTCAGGAGGCAAAACTTTAGTTTATAGGCTTCTCCTCTAGGAAAAAAAAAAAAAATCAAAAAACATTTGACCAGAACGAGCTCTCCTGTTTCTCAAATCTCTTCGGAAAAAATGCAAAACATAGATTACAGTTTCCAAAACAAAAGGGATGAAAACAGCCTGTTGATGGAGACAGACATTTTAAGTGATTCTGACCATGCTAAATGCTGCTAATGATTGAGAGAATCCTGTTAATGGAAAGGAGCAGCAAGATAACCCTAAGGCACCTCAGATCATTATCTATATTGCTGTAGTTCACAGAAGCTGAGATCATGTCCCCATTGTTTAGTGTAGACACACACGTGGGCACAGCCCTTCTTTGGGGAGGTTTTATGGAGTTTTTATGGCCTAAAGTAAACTGGGCAGGTGGAGGGTGAGTAAAGGGGAGCAAAAAGGGGGAACGAGCCACCAGATCATTCGAGCAGGTTTGTCAAGTTGTATAAAGTACCTCACTGGATGAAATGGATTTTTTGGACAATTTGTGAACAGTATATGCAAATAAACAACTTTCATAGTTTTCAAGTAGTGAGTTGCTGCCATGGGGGCAAGGTGTTATCAAGTGGGGGAAGTGACATGGGTTCTCCTTTCATGCGCCAACAAAAGACATGCCAGGCAGTCTTCCAAAATCTGTCAGTGCAAGGAGAGATAAACAGTTATCTTGGCAGGTTTATTTTTCAGTCTTTGTTCATGCTGCTTCTTCTTTTGTCCTCCCTTTTTTTCAACTGGCTTTTCCTTCCTCTTCCACTCTTCTTGCCTTGTGTTTTCTCCTGCCTGCCTTTCCCAAACTTTTCCGCAGGTTTCCAGTGGCTCCATTGTCACACATCTCTTCCAAGAACAGCACTTGGGGATTTCTGTTTGGGGCTTGAAAAAGCCCTTGTGCTTATGTAGCACATCGGGACAGTTAGAGAGCATTTCTTAATGTTGATGCCAACATGCCAAAGCAGGACCCCTCGGGCAGTGGATGTGTTTAAGCATCTCTGGTTTAACTGAGGGAAGACCAAAGCAGTGAAAACAGAAATCAGTTGCTGAAGGTTGCACACAAAGCCACCAGCAGATCCAGCACAGGATGTGGGGCTCACATTTCTTTGGATGGTGCCTCCAGGAGAGAAATGCAGCATGAAAAACTCACTGTGCCATGGGAAAGCAAATGACTCCTGAAGCCACTCTGCATCTCCCAGCCTCTGGCTACACCTGAAGACAAGGGGTGATTATAAAGTTTCTTTAAGCTCCAGAGATAAAAAGAGTCCTACCCCAGCCACAGGCTGATCTCCAGTCACCTGATCTTTGCCCAGAGACAACAGTCAGTTGTTTTTTCTGAGTTCTGTCAACATGATGTTGCAGCTTTAGTTGGTTATTTGGGATATTTTTGGTGGTTGGGATTTTTGTTTTACAAGTTCCTCACCCTGGGTTTAATAGTGACCTTGCTGAGAACTTTTTTCACGTAGAAAACATAAGCAGGGCACACATTTAATTTCTGGCTGATCCATGTATGCCCTCAGATCAGCGTGCAAAGCATGCCTCTGCTTTATTATTATGTTTTCTCATCACCTCCACCTGGACTCAACAACTACTTCCAGCTCATATGAGCTGCTGAAATTTAATTTCATCTTTGCTTTTGCCGAAAGCAAGAAATGAAGAGAGGGAATAAACCCAGAGCTCTTTGCTGAACACCACTTTGTTGCCATCTGCAGCTCTGTGGAGGGAGCTTGAGCACAGGAGGCGGACAGGAAGCCAGCAGCTTTCCCAGGAAAAAAAAGCCCTGTGTCCTCTGTGCTGCTCTTGTTGGCTGCTAGTTGGATTGGGAAAAAAAAAATCCAACAACTCTCCTCTAAACCCCAAAGCTAGTTTTGACAGTGACAAATCATTAGCTTGGAGCTGGTCTACAGCATGACAAAATCTGATTGAGGAGCGGAGGGAAATTACTCCAAGCCTCTCTCTTGACAAGCATGTTAGATTTTGAAGGAGAAATTGTTGAGAAAAACAAAGAATGAGAAGTGAAAGGACTGTCAAACAGGGTTAAAAATAACAACCTGGGTATTATCTCCTGGCACAGGGGTGTCTGCATGGCTGCTGTGTTGGTGCCAGTCAGTCAGTCCTGCTTGTGGTGATTATTATAAATTAAAGCTATAGGCAGGTAAGCTGGAAAAGAGTGTTTTGGAAGGAAGATGGTTCTGGGAATAGGTGATGAGGAGGGAAGTGTTGACACACCATGGCTGACAAGTGACCAAGCACAGGGGCACCAGTGCTGGGGACATTCCCCTGGGGGGTGGCCTCGTGCCTGGGCTGTGGGTGTCCTGGGTTTGGAGCTGGTGGCGTGGCTGGGAGCTCAGGGTGGGCTCATCCCCACCCTGGGGTTCTGCCAGGGCCTGGGGAGTGCCCACTGCTGGTGGCTGGGGCAGTGAGAGGGCTGGGGGCACAGGGGGTGTCTGCACTGACGTGTTCTCCGTGCATCTCCCAGGAGCTGTTCCTGATCTCTTTTTAGAGAGGGGAGCTGAGGTAGAGATGCCCTCCCTGGGAGGTGGGCGTTGTGCTCTGCTGATGGTCCCTGTGCCCATCCTGTGCAGATCAGGAGCTGCAGTTCCCAGTTCTTCTTCCAGTTATGGAAAACACCCACAGATATTGCAGATGGCTTCTGGCCAAGAGCTGTTGCTGGGACAGGCTGTTGGTAGTCGTGCTGTCTAACACAGCTCTCTTACCACCTGAAAATACCTGGGGGTCCTGACTCGTGCCTTGGAGGGGGCTAAACTGGGATGTAATTGACAGCCTGAACTCCAGAGAGTCCATCTCAACAGTGACCTGCAGTGTCTGCCAAAGCCCTGCAGACTGGGGGAAAGGAGGGAGGCGAGTCAAGAGAAATAAAAGTTGAATAAATATTTGCTCTGTGGCATCTACTGGAGAAATTCCTCCAGCAGGAAAACACACTGCAAATAAAGATACCCTGTGCTGCTGGCTCTGCTTCCACTGCCAGACAGCTCAGCTTGCTTTTGCCCCTTTGGGCATCTCAGGCATCCTTGAAAAATCCATCCTAACCACTGTGCCCTGAGTGGGGGATCCATTCAGTTGGTGGGAGCTGGATCTCAGGGAAATCAGGGGATGCTTGGAAGCAAAGCCATTTCCACCCAGTATCCAAGGCTGCATTTGGAGGAGGAGAACCAAGGGACATCAGACAGGGCTGCTCAAAAAGCCACCCAGGAAGAGTCATTAGGGCTTGGGCTAATTATAGTCTGGGTGGTGGTTGGAGGTTTGTGAAATAGGAAGTGTTTCTAGCTGCATGGCTGCTTTGCTCAGTGAAGAAGGTCTCGGTGATGTGCAGGAGGGGATGCACCTGCAGTGCCTGTCTCTTGTGGGGAGGAGGGGATTGCACATCAGGCTGGGCACTGAGGAGCCACTGCCATCACTCAGCACCAAATCACATAATTTGGGTGGCTCCAGACGAGCTCCAGTGATTCCCTGCCAGTGGTGTGGAGGGCTGGCCCCTCTCACAGCAGTGCCTGTCACACATAGCCAGGGATCCTGGTGGGAGATGCTTGGTCTGGAGGGTGAATCAGGCGTGGTGGCACCAGTGACAGCAGTGGCTGTGATTTCCTGTGCTCTGACTTGGGCTGGTTATCTGCAGCACATTCTGTCTCCCTCCCTCATCAACAAATGAAATCTAATTTGTTAGATTTAATCTGTTACCGTTAGATTTAATCTCTTACCGCTGGTGAAGTTTCACTTTTCAGATGGCTGATGTCACCACAAAAACTTCTGTTTGGTTTGTCAGTATTCCTTAGCTTTAGAAGGAGGGTTTTAATTCCTGTCTTTGTGCTAGTCCAGGTTCCTCCCGTGTAACCTCTGCTGTTGTTGTTTTGCACTGAGCAGAACGTTGAGTCATCTGCAGCCTCTGTGATAACTATAATTAGGAGAAAATGCATTTACAAAGCTCTTTCCTGTGATGCAAGCACGTCATTGTCCTTGCAGGGAAATCATTCCTGCCATGCTTCCAGGTGGGTGTGAGCAGCTTCTGATTACATTTGACACTCATACTCTTTGCATGGATTTTCCTAGCTGGATGTGCTGCCTACAGAGGAAGTGGTAGTCTGAAGCCATCATTATATTCTCCACTTGTTGTGAGCATAATCCCTACTGATGTAATTAAACATAAAGGAAGAGAATATAGAATGGAGTAGTAGTCAAAGAGAACATTGAGAGTGTGTCGTACACCCAGAGATTTATTTAGTACTTTGGAATAAAAATAAAAGTCAAGAGAAAAATATATCCCTAACATCAGTTGGAGAGGAGGCTTCTTGAGAGAAATGGAGTAAAGAATCCTTGAGATGCTCAGGTCTTTTTCTCTCCCTGTTACACCTTGCAGAGTTATACATGGTTTAGGATAAAGGAAAAATTGTTGATCTGGTAATAAAATGCTGCTGTGCTTATCAGGATAACTGCAGGTTATTCTGAACACACCAGAATGACTGGAGAGACAGAGCTCAGCCCCACTCCAGTGAAAACTCATAAAAGTGACCCTTTGCTGCAAGGGAAAAGTACAATTTAGGAAACTATCTTGGTGGCTAAATAATAGAAAATACCTCCACACATTACTAGCTGCTGTGCTTTACTCGGTCACCTCGATTGTTGCAAGTTCAATAGATCAAATTTATCAGTGCTGTGCTCTTGGAGATAACAGAGATTATGGCCCTGGACTGGCAGCAGCCCATTTGGGCAGGGCAGGCAGGAGTTGTGCCTGGAAGCATCCCATCCCTGAGGGTTCTCTGGGAGCTTTTCCATGGCTGGTTATCCCCACCTGCCCTCTGCCTTTGGTGGGGGATTTATACCCAAAAACTCCTGTCATGTTGTCCTGCTGGGGTTTCTCTGACCCAGACAAGCAGTGTCCTGGAGCCTTTGATTTCCCTGTGCTTTTCTGTGGCAAGCTGGAGTCAGTGGAGCCACTGTTCCTGGAACTGGCTGGGGCTGCTGATTAAAAACCAACCCACCTTTGGTTTTGCAGCAAATGGAGACGTGATTGAAGATAACTTCCTCTCAGGGTAAGCCCAGGAGGGGCTCTGAGAGCATTTCCCAGCTAGTTGAAATGACTGAGGCAGGTCAACCCCTGGTTACTCATTCCTCCAGCAAAGAGACGTGAGGTTTGCCAGTTCCTGAGTTATTTTGTGCACTCGTGCTTGTGCACAGTAACAACAGTTCCAACCCTCTAAACACCAACTGAAACACTTCCAGTTCCTCCTGCCAGAGGTTAGCCCTTAGCTGCTTATCTGCCTTGTCAGAAAACAGCAATAAATCCATCTCCAGCAGGTTCACCTGCCCTCCTGTTCTGCTTTTCATTGTTCCTTCACCTCCCCACTGTGAGGGCCCATTTACACCTTTATAAATGGGTTTGTGCTGTGTGGGATTAACCCACATTTATCATCATTCCAGGACAGAGAAATCAGCTCTGTGTTTGATGTAAAAGGTGACCCGGGTTGTTTCCCACATGGAGGATGGGTGTGTTCAGCAGGGTGGAAAGCCCAGAGGTTACTGCCCTGGTACAGTGAATTCCCCTGGAGCAGAGTCTGTTAGCTCAGTGCTTTGTGCTCTTGGCCTCTGGGCAGAGAAAGAATCAAATACAAATCGTACCAGTAGTGGGTGTTCTTCCTCAGCTTTCAACTCTGTAATTCACTGGCAAAGGGGGGAACCCAAAGTGGCATGGCTGAGGGAAGGCAGAGGGATTTACCTACACCTGGGCCTGACATTTGCAGCAAAATGTGTTTGTTTGCTTGAGGCTGAGAATTCACACACCAGAAATATATTTTCTGTTAACATATTTTCACTCTTATTATCTAAAATTTCTTATCTGTCCAGACTTAATTTTTTTGCTTATCTCTCTGAGCTCTTCAGGCCCGTCAGGTTTTGTCTCTCTGAGGAATTCCTGCATATCCCTCCTTTTTAGGAGGTAACACACAGATCACTTCCCCTAAGGAATGTAGACATGCCAAATGACTAACGTTTGCTACCAAGAGGTGTGTCTCATGCAGGTGCTTCCAACCTCATGCCCGACCTTTCCTTTGTTTCCCTTATCATTTAAAGAACAGTTTCTTTTTTAGAGGGAAAAAAAGCAAACCAGCTTCCTTCTTGCCTTTCCCTCCATCCACAGCCAGTGATGTCCAAGCAGCCCGTTCCACCTTGCAGCCTGTGGACAGAGATTTGCTGCTGGAGCCCCACAGTGTTTGGGATGAGGTTGGCATCGTTCCTAAAAGCCAGCAGATGGGATGCACTCTGTGTCAGCACCGCTGTGCCCCGGGGAGTTGTGCTGACCTTCATTTTATCGAGGCAGACTCAGCTTGCTGTGGAAACCCAGGGCACTGGGAGTATTTCTCTGTCTGCCCTGGGGTGCCCTGACCCCCAGGGGAGCACTGACTCTGACCCTCATTCATGGAGAAAGTTTCCTAAACTTCAAGATAGACTAGAATCGACTAAAGTGTGAAGTAGATTGTAGAGAGTAGTGTAGGTGTATTACTTAGGTGAGAATTTAGGTTTTGGGATTTTTAGTATGTTGTGGGTGGAAGCAAGATGGAGGGCACAGGGTGTCATCCTGGGTTTCTTCTTCATGCTTCTTCTTCCTCCTTCTTCATGGATTTGGGTGGTATTTTGTAATTGGGTGGAAAAATCCGCATTGCGGGCTTTTAGGGATCAGTTATTGGGTTAAAAGGGGAAATAATCTAGGTGTCAGTTCTCAGTTGGATAGTTTAGCTTTAAAAGACCTTGTAACAAGAGATTGTTGGCCATTTTTGCGGTGCTTCTCCAGTGCGCTGAGCCTGGTGTGGACAGTGTGAAAAACTTTAGATAATAACAAACAAGAACCTGAAGACCGAAAAAAATCCAGTGGGTCTCTCTTTCCTGACACAAAACCACCCCAGGAGGGTCTCCCCCGACGGGGGAGCCCCCTGGGAGGGCCCAGCCTGTGACCCAGAAGTTGAGGAATTGACAATAGGGTGCCCCGGCAGCTTGCAAAGCCAAGGCGACCCCTCAATCCTGGCTGTGCACAGACCCAGGGGGCCCAGCATCCCCCTGCCCTTTCCCACCTTCCTCTCCCTCCCTGCAGGCCTGAATCCCGCCTGTGGACGGCGATGCTGCTGCTGGGGACGTGCCTGCTCTACTGTGCCCGTGTCACCGTGCCCATCTGCGCCGTGGCCCTCAGCTCCTACTTCGACTGGGACAAGAAGCAGTTCGGCGTCGTGCTCAGCAGCTTCTTCTGGGGCTACTGCTTGACACAGATTGTTGGAGGACACATCAGCGATCAGTACTGGAAATTATCCTCATGTGTTCTTGGTTTAATGATGCTTGGCTTGTTTTTGACGCCTCAGTTCCAGACTCCAGCAATGTGCTGGAGGGTTTAGTGTGTCCATGGGGAGAAGCTCTGGCTGAGAAGGGATGTGGGTACTTTAGACTGGCCATGTAGAAGCTGTGGATATCATCCCTCAAGATTCTAGGATTCTGTGAATACAGCTTTTTTGATTTGATTGCACAGATGATCTTTGTTTTCAGTTCAGCACTTCCAGTCCCTCTGCCCTATATTCTCTTGCAGTCTTTTCTCAAGCAAGTCCCCATACACTGTTTCCATCACGTTTAGAAAAACTGTCTCCATTGTGTCATATGAATTAAAAAGTAAACAATTTCCCCAGCTGGCTGTAAGGATCTGAGTCATTACCTGCTTGAGTCCCTTTCTCCAGCCAATCTATTCTTAGTGAGAGAGCTTTTCCATGAAATCTTTTGTGAGGAGCACATGCCTGGAAGGGATGCATTATCTGTGCAGTGCACTTTGCTATTTAATTAGGGTCCTTAAGAGTTTGCAAGAAAACACCCGGAGAAACCCGAATGGTAAAAGGCAGAGCTGAGGATTGCAAAAGAGCAAATAGAAAACCATCACTGGTTAAGAGAAGCAGAATGGTGGCAGCAGTTGGGCTTCCCCTCCACCAGCATCACAGAGTTGAGTGGCCCAGTGCTGTGAGATCTCTGGGATCAGTTGGATAGGCAGTGCTGGCAGGAGCTGGGAAGGGAAAAGGTCAAATTTACTCCCCAGGGGCCAAGAGAAGAACAGGTTTGACCAAAAGGTTGCTCTTAAAAACAGGTTAAACTGGGAAGGGCACTTGAGTCTGGATTGGAGCACTTTGCCCTTTTGCCCTCCTGTCTTTGATAATGTGTTTTCTGTCTTCCAGAATAGGAGGTGAGAAAGTCCTCCTCCTTTCAGCATCAGCCTGGGGGTTCCTCACAGTCCTCACCCCGATGCTCACCCACATCACTTCAGCCCATCTGGTTTTTATGACCTCCTCCAGGTTCCTCATGGGGCTGCTGCAAGGTGAGACCCCTGTCCTGAGCGTGTCAGTGTGTCTGTCTGTCCAGGGGCTTCCTTGCACAGAGGCTCAGGTGCAGCACATTGAGGTGCATGTCTCTTGGTTTGCAGTGCATGAACCCTTCCCATGGGTGTCTGGGCAATTCTCTGCCTCAAAGCAGCCTCCACATCCAGAACTTCCATGGGAAAAACCAGTGGCAATTCTAGAGAAAGTCACTGACAAGTCATTTCCCTGTAGAAATCTCTCTGCCAGACAAGGGCTGCTGGCTTTGGAAATCATCTCTGGTCATGTTTGGTTTTCCACATTTTAAAACTCCTTCAAAACACTTGGAGAAAAGTAGCTCTTGCCAAAACTTCTGGATAATTTGGAGTGATTTTCCTTCCTTCTTGCCCACTGCAGCACTGGGAAGTGCATTGGCACTGATGGATTTACAGTAGCACTGGTGATGCTGAAAGGGGATTACGGAGAAGGCACAAAAACCCTTTGATGGTGATGGATCCACTCAGTTTATTTTATATCCCTGTTTTGAATTCACCAAAGGTTTTGCTGCTGTGTCTCAGTGTTTTGCTCACTCTGGATCTCTTAACTTTGCTTTTGTTTTGCTTAACTGCTCCCTGCCTTGCTCCTGTTTCTCTCAGGGGTGTACTTCCCATCCCTGGCCAGCCTGCTGTCCCAGAGGGTCCGGGAGAGCGAGCGAGCCTTCACCTACAGCACAGTGGGGACTGGATCACAGTTTGGGTGAGTTCAAAGGCTCTGAGCAGCCAGTGACAGTCTCTGGACATCCTGTCTGATGAAATGCCATGAAATAGTTGGAGGCAAAACTCACAGCCCAAAGTACATGTGGATTCACGGGTCCTCGAGGACTCCTGCTGCAGCTGAGGAAGCCTCAGGCAGTTGCTGTCCTGCCTGCCAAGGATTTATGTATTGTTTTCTCTTTCTTTTCAAACCAGACTTTGAAGACTGTTTGCAACATTTAATTACTATGGAAAACAGCCTAATTCAGTAGGAAGAACAAGGGTCAGCCTGACACTGGTCACCTGTCCTCTCTGATAGATGGGAAGAATAGAGCTTCTCCATCTCTGCTGATCTCCATCAGAATTTCCTTTCTAAATGGAAAGGTTGCTTAAAAGCCGAATAGAAATATCAGTGTGTTGAATCACTTAGTTTTCCAGTGTTCTCATTTCTCCTGCTGCTTCACACATTCTCTGGGATACTGCACATCAGCAACCTCCTTTTCTTTCCCCAATGACCATTTTTCAGTGAGGGGCAGGTGAGGGTGAGGTCCCTTTGGGACTTCTGCCACTGAGGATCTGGCCTGAGATGCCACTCAAGGTACAGGACAGGTTGCAGAGCCATGGTGGGACTGGTGGCAGCACCCAGAATGTAGTGACTGAGAAATTCTCCTCTGTGAGGGTGGGCAGGCCCTGGCACAGGGTGCCCAGAGAAGCTGTGGCTGTCCCATCCCTGGAAGTGTCCTAGACCAGTTTGGATGGGGTTTGGAGCAACCTGGGATAGTGGAAGGTGTCTGCTTGTGGCAGGGGTAGAACAAGATGAGCTTTAAGATCCCTTCCAACCCAAGTAATTTTAGGATTCTGTGGTTCAGTGACAGCAGTGTTGACCCCAGGGAGAGTCTCCCATTGATGTGCTCAGTCTGAGCTCTCAGCCAGGCCAGTAAATCTGAGTGCTTTCCCTTGCAGAACGCTGCTGATTGGTGGTGCAGGATCTCTCCTCCTGGACTGGTACGGCTGGGAAAGTGTTTTCTACTTCTCTGGTTTGCTCACTTTGCTCTGGGTTTATTGCACCTGCAAATACCTCCTGAGTGAGAAAGGTGAGTCCAGCTGCATCCCTGGGGATGGCAGTGCTCCCAGGGATCTGGGAACTAAGTTATTCCTCTCCATTATTTTCTGCAAATCCTGTATTTCCAAGATTGTGCCTGGTTTCACACAAAGGCCTTTTGCTCAGATGTGTTCTGTAACCTGTGTCTCACCCAAGATCACCAACCCAAAAACCTGGATTTGAGCTCTTGCAATGCTGATTTCCTGTTTCAAGTCCCATGCTGGATTATATCATTGCTGAGAGCCTGATCTGGCTCCTCAGTACTCTTTAAGCATCAGTGAAAACACAAAACAGAGCATGATCTTCAAAGTGGATTAAGCTAAAGCAGGACAAGATACTTACTCCAAACTAAGAGCATCTACACACAGAGCTTTTAAAAACCAGTTAATCCACAATATCTCTTCCCAAATAACTGCCTGGGAGTAATTCCACATATGGACAAACCATTACACCTGGCTACAGCATTATTAGGGTGAGCGTGGTATGTAGGAGCCCAGCTCACTGGGAGCTGGGTGTGTGCCTGGTGCTGCACAGAATCCAAACCCAATCCCTACCAAGGGACTTTTGTTAAATTATAAAAGAGATATAACACATGGGTGAAGGTGGCTGGATGGGGAGGGGTGTGGAAAAAGTTTGGTCAGTGTAGCAAGGTGTTTCCATAAGCATTGAACACTGGTAGAGCCAAAAAACCAAGGGCTAGAAGGAGATTAAAAGTGGTTATACAGCAGTGCCCCAGGGCTGCCGCCAGCTGCACAGGTAATTACTGACCACAGCTTCCTTTTTTTCCCTGCAGAACTCACCATCCCCATGAACTATTTAACCAGAGGCCTCTCGGTACCCAAGCAGACCAAAGTTCCCTGGAAGCAGCTGTTCAGGAAGGCACCGATCTGGTAGGCAGCTGCATGCACTGCCCAGGCTGGGAGCATCCCCTCTTTTCTCCTCTCTGGGCTTATTTCTTCTGCCTCTGTGGTTTTTGTCCACTTATTACGTATATTTGAGAAGCAGAACCAGTTTTCTAATTCCTTCAGTATAAATTGAAAGGTAAGCTTGGCAAAGGTGGTTTATGTTCTGTCCACAGGACTGTCAGGCTCGAATGTTACTGGCAGATCTTCCCAGGCTGTTCCCCCTGGATGAGTCCTGTGCTCCTCCAGAGTGATATTTTTCCAGGGGTCTTGTTAGAAAAGCTGATTGTAATGTGCTCCTAACAAGTGCTGCTCAGGGGCACTGGGTGGCATGGACTGTGTTCTCATTGCTGGCAAACATCTTTTTAATGGCCATTTTGCCTTTGGGATGCTGCAGTGGGTACTGAAGCCCATCCAAGCGTGTTCCCAAGGGCTGTTTTAAGGAGGAGAGGAGGAGGAGGATGATGGGGCTGCAGGGCAGCAAACCCATTCCAGCTTTGAATAACAATGGAGCTGATAACAAATCCCTAGAAAACCCTAAACTACACCTCTAGAAGCATGAGGGCTCTTGCAGGGCTGGAAGGGACCGGTGGGAAATGCAGTGGCATAATTAGCACTTCAATTAACCTCGCTTGGCCCCGGGGCTGTGCGGTGGGGCAGCAAAGAACCAGCTGCAAGGAGAAAGCTGAAAATCAGCTGGAGCTGAAAATCTGTGACAAAAATCTCAGGAAGCCGAAAGGAGTAGCTCTCCATGACAAAAATCTCAGGATAGAGAGCTGAGATCTTAGGATCTCAGCTGACATCTTAGTGCCCTTTCCCAGGCAGCATGACCTGTCACTGCTGATTGTTTCCTCTCAGCTGTGTATTTTCAGGGCTGTCATCATCGCTCAGCTCTCCACGGCCAGCACGTTCTTCACTCTGCTCTCCTGGCTGCCGACTTTCTTTAAGGAAACTTTTCCCGACTCCAAGGTGGGTTGGCTCCGAAGCAGAAGCATTGCAGTTCAGAGGAGGCCAAAAGGGGGTGGAGAGGAGGAAGATGATGGCAGAGGGATTTGGTGAGAGCAGCCTGGGAGGTTTCTCTGTTGGATTTGGAGCTGTGGCACCTCTGCTCCTACTTTTGGAGATCTCTCCAGCTTGCAGTTGCTTGTTTAGGGATGCTCAAGGGTGAAGGGAAGAGCAGGTTATATTGGGTTTTAGACTGCTTTTCTTCTGAAGAAAAGATAATTTTTCAACTACCACAAAGATCATGACATTATCCTGTTGCAAATAACCACCATTCACTCCTAATTTTTTTACAGGGTTTTTAAGTGGACTAACATTGCACAGCTCAGGCCTGCCTGTGAAAATGATAATTACCATTAATAGCAATAATGTGTACTTCAAAAATACTACAAAATCTTCCCTCTCCTCTGCACAAATGATACTCCCATTTTTCAGAAAGCCAGGCAGTACTGATCTGGGCTGAGAGCTGGTATTTTCATCTTGTTCTCAGAAACTCTGCCTCCTCCACAATGGCTCTGTTAGCTTTTTACAATTTCCAGAGCTGCTTACAAATGCCTTTTCATATTACATATGTAAAGCTCTTTATGGCACACTTGATATTTATATTAAAATCATGTGTTAAACCAGCAAACATATTGTTGTGACAAGATCTGTGCACCTCGAGTAATGTGCTTGTGCAGCAGTAATTTACCATCTGTTAAGCATTATATCATGGTGCCCTTATGTAAGATGCTCTATAGAGTGCTCCCGCAGCTGATAATCGTTTTGTGCTGTTTAAAACGGGCTGAGGCTGCTTGATTTTAAAGGATGGCTGATAATCCCTAATGTGGGTAACCTGTGTCACCTGCTGGCCAAAATCCCTTGCTGCAGGTGAGCTGGGCAGCTGCCTGTGGCCACCTGAGTGAAGGTGATGGAGGGTTTGGCTCAGGGTGATGGGCTGTGGGATGAGACAGATTTGGGATTGATGTGCTGAGCTGCTGTTTACAGACAGCAGAAGCACCACCCCACAGAGCCCATGGACTAGCATTGTCAAAATTGACCAAGACCCAAATTTCAAAGGCATGGAAAGATGCAGGTGGACCCTGGTGTGATTTCCAGGAGCATCTTTAACAGGGTTATTCAAAACCAAGATCACTCAGCCCTCCCACACATCCCAAAGCCAGACAGGAAGGGGAGATGCCCCCACAGGGTGATGGGCTCTGAGCAAAGGGGGAGATGCTGGGGGTGATGGGTGCATGGATGGATGAGTAGGTTCAACCAGCTGAGATGAAATCCAGCCCAGCCCACACTGATTTCAGCTCCTGTGGGATCTGGGCACCAAAGTGCCCCGAGCAGCTGTAATCCAGCTGACCACTAATCGTCTGTGATTACAGCTGCAGCTCACTTAATTGAAAATGGGCCCAAGGATGTTGCTACACATAATGTTACCTAATCCTGCCATTAGAAAATCCAGCTCTGCTCCCTCAGCCTCACACAGTAATGCTGCTAATGAGCTGGAAGCTGCTGGAAATTTTGCCAGCAGCTTTGCTGGGGACCCACAGGAAGCCCACACTGAGCTTTCCAGGGCTCTGTGGCTGCCCACCACATCATCTTACTGAGCAGTAAACTTTGCCACGTTTAATCCCTCTTTCCCAGAGTTTTCTGCCTCTCTTTTGGATGCAGCATTGCTGGGAGGAAGGAAAGACCACAAATCTACAAATGCCACAGGCTGTGATGCACCTACTCCCTCACAGAGCTTGGAGTGGGGCACAGTGCAGCTGAGAGCTGGCTCTGCAGTGGGGGTACAGGTGCTGCCACAAGTCCTGAGTGCTTCAGTCCTGAGTGCTTCGTTATTTCTCTTTTCTACAGGTACCACAGACTGTCAAAATATTAGCAAACAAACTTGGCTCTGACGACAAATCTCTCTTGATTTTCACTTCTTTTCAGGGTTGGGTGTTTAATGTAGTGCCCTGGCTGGTTGCAATTCCGACGAGCTTGTTCAGTGGATTTCTGTCTGATCATTTAATTAGTCAAGGTGAGAGCTCTTTATGGCTTTTCCTCAGCTCTTATGTGATGTGGGAAGAGGACCTGGGTGGGAGGAGGAGGGCTCGTTGGTAGGGAGGAGACCTAGCAAATAAGCAATGTGAGGTTCTGATATAAAAGCAGAATAAATCTCCAGTGTCCAAATCCCATTGGTGTGTTTGGGGCTCCCTTTGATCTCATTCATAATATCCACCTGGAGATGAAATCTGGGCATCTGAAATCTACTTACGTTGTAGTTTCCTGACTGGGCAACAAGGTGAGCTGTGCTTAACTCCAAGTTAAGTTAAGTTAACTCCCAAGTGTCTCTTTGTTCTCCAGGGTACAGAACCATCACCATTCGTAAGTTCATGCAGGTAAGAGAGCTGGAGCTGTGGGAGAGGTACCTGAGTTACCTTGCATGGAGCTGGATTGGGGGTTATAGATGGAAACAGGAGAGATTTTCTGCCTTTGCTCATTAATTGGTGGTCAGGATGTGTGAAAGGAAGTCCAGAGGAAAACCCTGGCTGAGGAACAGAGCCTGGATTAATGGCAGCATCGAGCACAGTGAGTGCTCTGAAGGTGTTTTCTTTCACAACCTGTCCCTGGTGATTCCAAATGACCCCTTAGGTACTGAGGAAGTAGCAATACAAGAGTGAGCAGAAATAGAAATGCTGGGTGAGAACACAGTGTCTCTGATCTGCAGCATCACATCCCTCTGGACAGACCTCTGACACAGAAGGACATTGAGGGGGGTAGAAGGAGGAGCACAGGGTGCACACAAACTCATGCCATTGGAAAAGGGAACAGTTTGTTCGTGGCAGGAGTTGCTTTCTCCTTGCAGAAAACGTGCTGTGGTGTTTAATTTTCCCTTTTTTCCAGGTCATTGGCTCTGGTGTCTCAAGCATTTTTGCCTTGTGCCTGGGCCAGACCTCCAGTTTCTGCAAAGCAATAGTGTTTGCCTCAGCCTCTGTTGGACTGCAGACCTTTAACCACAGGTGAGGAGAGCCATGGGGACAGTGGCCCTCAGCTCCCCTGCACATGTGGCATTTTGGGGTCTCAGAGGAGGCTGCCTCTGTCCTAACCATGAGAACAGGAATTGGCACTTGCCTGAGCATTGTGTTTGGGCCCTGTGAGGCTGGTGGAGTTTGGAAGTAATCCAGCAAACCTCTAGCATGGAAGGGCTTGGACCAGCCAGGAGGAGGGAGATGGAGTAGGAGGGGAATTGCATTGTGGCTCCTCTGAACACTTTGAGTTGGATTATTTTCCTTCTGATACTCACCTGCTTTACTCTCAGCTTCTCCTGCCAGTGCCATTTCTTGTCTAAGAGCTTTCCTTGTGTCTGACAAAGCAAGCTGTGTAAATGATGGAAAAGCAGTCGTGTTCCATTCAAACAGCCATTTATCTCCCCCTCTGTCTCTCACCAGTGGCATTTCAGTAAACGTGCAGGACCTGGCCCCCTCGTGTGCTGGCTTGCTCTTTGGTAAGGATTCTGTGGGGTTTCTGTGCTGGAGAGGTGGCATCTCTTGGGGGGACGTGGTCACCAGCATCAGGGTTTGAGCAGGGGCAGCTCTGGGCAGTGTCTGCTCTGTGTGTGCCCTCTCAGCTTCCTTCTGTGACAAACCTGCCAGTGCTGGGGACAGGTGACACCACCAAGGTGCCTTTGTGTGTCTCAGGTGCTCTGCTGCACCCAGGGGTGGCTGGGGCTGTGCCAGTGCTCTCTGTCTGTTGTTCAGACAAGCTGTGGCTGCTCTTCCCTGGAGGTGTCCAAGGCTGGACAGGGCTTGGAGCAGGGCTAGTGGAAGGTGTCCCTGCCCGTGGCAGGAGGATGGGATGAGCTGAGCTTTAGGGTTCATCCCTGCTCAAACCAGTCAGTGATTCCACGATCACAAAGGCATTTTGTCCAGCATGCAGACCGGGGGTTGGTGGCAGCTGTGATGAAGCCACTCCTGTCTGTGGGTTTTCACAATTTCTTTTCACACCTTTTCTCTCCAGGGGTTGCAAATACAGGTGGAGCCCTCCTAGGTAAGGTACATTCCTGCAGCTCCTCCTCTCCTGGGGAGCCCTCTCCCTGCAGAGGGCAGGATCCAGCCCAGAGCCTTTGCATGTTTCTCTTCCCTCTTCTCTGCAGGTGTCATTTGTGTGTACCTGGCTGGATACCTGATTGAGACCACTGGCTCCTGGATTTCTGTTTTCAACCTGGTGGCTGCTGTGAACAGCATTGGGCTCTGCACATTCCTCCTATTTGGGGAGGCCCAGAGGGTGGACACAGACTCTGTGTACGTGGATCTTTAGAGATGATCCCAAGAAGCAGCTGAAGGACAGGAGAGTGTCACATCTATGGATCATTCTTGCACAAGTGCCAAAGAACATTTTTTTTTTTTTTAGGTGTTTTAACAAGACATTGGGCTCTGCACATTCCTCCTATTTGGGGAGGCCCAGAGGGTGGACACAGACTCTGTGTACGTGGATCTTTAGAGATGATCCCAAGAAGCAGCTGAAGGACAGGAGAGTGTCACATCTATGGATCATTCTTGCACAAGTGCCAAAGAACTTTTTTTTTTTTTTTTTTTTTTGGTGTTTTAACAAGAAAAAATATGCTGAAATCAAGTACATAATGGGTCTGGATAAAACCCACGGGAGAAAAGAAATTTAGAGTTCATTTTTTTGCTCAGGGCTGTAGCTGGTGGCTTGCAGAGCCATCCAGCTCAACATCTCCAGTGAGGATATGGTCTGTGGGACCAGTTTGTCCCAGTTTGTGTCTTGTGGACAAATATCCTTGTGGCCAAAGCAGCTGACCTGGCCTGTCTCCCAAGGCTGCTGTGGTTCCATGCCCTCTTGAGGGGAGCTGCTTCTCCATGTGGGAGTGGAGCTCCCATGCTCTGCTGTCCTGGGACCACCTGGCTCTGGGGCTGCTGTGCCACCAGGTGTCCTTGAGGTGTGACAGGAACGTCCCCACGAGTACCTCTGCCCTTAACCCCCACGTGTGCCTTCGTTCTGCAGCAGGTGCCAGCCAGGTTGCCAGGGCTGGGAGGTGAATTCCAGGCTCCCCTTCCGGGGATGTGTGGCTGGGTGCGTGCCCAGGGCCATGGGGCTGTGTCAGTGCTGCTGTCACAGAGCTGGGAGAGGGCTCCAAGCCAAGCCTGGCTTTGCTCAAGAGCCCAAGGTGTCCCTTCTCTCCCTGGTGGCTTCACCCCAGCCCTGAGCCCAGGTGGCCCAGCTCCAGCATGAGAGCAGAGCTGAGCTGTCCCCGGGGTCAGGCTTAGCTGGGCTGACCTTGCAGTGCAGCAAGAGCCGAGGAATCCCTCTGGAGCTGCTTTGTGAAATGCTGTGAATGTATGGGAGGAACTGGTCACACTCTCTGCTGTGGATCTACAACTCCCAAATGCTTTCTGCATGATTAGATGTGTCCTCCACGTGCTCTCAAAGCACTGAGGGAGACTTTCCAAAGAGCTTGGCATGGGCAGGTTTTGTTTCTGTGTTAAGCATAAATCAAATTTCTGCACTGGGCATCCACGGGGATGTGGATCCCTGTGGTTCCCTGTGTCAGAGGGAAATACTTGGCTGTAGACTCCTCTGAGCTTGAATGTCTTAAAGTTATTTATAAATATTTTAAAATTTAAGCACCAAATCCTATATTTTATGTACTTGAGGCCTGATTCTGCATGCTTGTTTTGAGTGGTACTGCCACCAAATCCAGCACTATTTCTCAAAGAGGAGGATCTACCAGCCTCCAGTGTTGGGTTCTGTAGGATCAATTTTAAAGGTGAATTTCATATTAAAGCAATTCATTGCTTCTCCTCCAATGCCCTGATTGTAGCCTGAAAGGATCTCTTGGGTTTTTCTAGTTCTTACCAGAAAACTCAGGCTAAGGAGCAGATTTCCCAAGGACCTTGCAGTGCAGGAAAGCTAGAGATTCAGGTGAAAAAAAAATCCTATTATCCTCTTCCTCACCATTTTTTAGGCCAAATTTCTTCTTGGAAGACCTTTTGGAGCCGTGTAAAGTTTCTGAATAGCCTGGTTTGCAGTGAAAATACTGCCAGCCTTTTAATTGCAGGGACGCTAATGGGCATCACTAGTCTGAGCTGAGCCACTTACTGGGCAGAGTTAGAGATAAGGATGGGGCTGCCTGATGTCTTCCCAAGGGAATAAAGAATCCATGTGGCCTGATGGGACAGAGAGATAAGAAAGTATTTTATTTTTCTCCTTCTGTGCTCTTTTTTTTCCTCTAAAAGGCCATTTGCTACCTTAGGTACCACTCTGTAGTGGGGTGCTGCCGGGCCAGGAAGGCTGCTGGGAATTTTAAATCAGTGAGTAAATTGGGAAGAGCACCCAGTAACAAACAACAAACACAGCCAGGCTTGCCAGAGAGGCCCGAGGCTGTGCAGCCATCTCTGTCAGCCTGTCCTTTGCCCAGTCTGAGCAGATTGCTTGCATGGCCTTTTCTTTAGTGACAGAACAAAGATCCCCATGGGTTTTGTGGGGTTTTAGAGTATCTTCCCTGGCCATTCAGTGCCGCAGCTCAGGAGCACAAGGAGTCAGTTCTGGTTCTCTTTGCTGGTTGCAGCATTTCTTGTGGAGGAGTTGATGAGTTTAAATCACTCACATTTGAATCAGGCTGCTTGGCCAGCCCTTGGATCGCCAGCTGGGAAATTTGGAACTGATCTTCAAAGGAAAATGTTTGGCTGTGCCTTCTCTGTGAATCCAGCTACCATTCCAGTGAGCTGTCCAAGTTATCTGTCTCTGTAACTGGCTAATAAGTTAAATATTTGACCTACACTTGAGGTTTATGTTTCATTCTCATCATACCTCTTTGGTGAAGTACTGAAACTGTTTTATCTGTACTGTTATTTGTTTAAGCCAAAGCTTGTGGTCTGCAAGTTTTTGCTGTGGAAGGACCTAAAAAGAATAAAGGCAATGAATCATTTGCAAACTGTGGTTTTGCTTTGGCTGCAGAGGTGTTCATTGGTGTGATCAGTGAGGGCCAGAGGAGTATATTTGATATGATTAATTCCTGGGGGAGGCTGTGCAGGGAGAGGATCTGGGCTGGCAGATTTTCACAGCATCCTCACATGTACATCAGACTTGAGTTCATCCAGCTATATCTTCTCTGATTTGGGAAAAATGAGTGAAAAGCTGCCTTCAGCAAGGGTTTGGACAGTAAAGCATGAGCAGGCACGATCCAATATCACTTGTTAAGAGTAATGACACAAACGAAGTGGTTCTTGGGTGAGGTGGGGCGCACCCCGCAGGCGGATCCCCTTCCACGTGCGATTGTGCTCAAAAAACCCCAAAAACCCAAAAAACAAAACCAAAACCCAGCATTTCCACCTCTTTGTAGAGCCTCGCTGACAGGTTCGAGCAGATGCCAACAGAGGGAGCTGTGAGATCTGGGATGTGGCAGCTCCTGTCCGGGAGAGTGCCGATCCCAGCCCTGGCACAGCTGGCACAGCTGGCACGGTAGCGTGGCTGCTGAGTGGAAGTTGGCTGGCACAGCTGGCACAGCTGGCAGAGCCTGGCCCTGCCCACGAGCAGCCCTGGCTGCTGGCTCCTGTGGCTGGAGTTGCCTTTGGGAGCCCCAGGATTTGCTGTCTCAGTGTTCACTTTCACCCCTCACAGGGCAATTGCACAGTTACTGTAGGGAGGAAAAGTTTTGGACACATTTTAAAAGGAGAAAGAGCCATTAAATGAATTTTAACACCTCATCCGTAGGGTGATGTGATCAAGAGAATATCTCTAAGTACTGTAGACTCCTCTAACTTCCTCATCAAAGTTTCAGAAAAAAAGCCAACATGAAACTTGGTGACATGAAAATGATGCTGAGAATAATTTAGCAGAGTGCAAGTTATCTTCAACTTTCCCTGTCTTTTTGCACGCCTTACAGAGGTATCAACAACCTCTGATGTGCACATTTGAGCTTTTTTGACTTTTTAGGTCATTTAGGTGATTTAAAGCTTTTCAGCTCTAAACAGACCCACCTTAAAGCCTGCCCTGTTCTTCTCCAAGTGTGCAGAGCATGAGAGAAAAGAAGGGTTTGGTATTTTTGTCCTTTTTTAAAATATATATATTTTTTTAAATCTATTTTCTCTCCTTTTTTTTCCCTTTCCTTTTTTTAGTCTTTTTTTTGCCACATTACTTAAATTGTCAGTGTCCCAGGATGTATATCTGCTTTCCAGCCTGCCCTGAGCAAGCAGGGACAGGCACAGTGCAAAAGGGCTTTAAAGGCTGATCAGTGGCAGGTACCTTGTATGGCTGCTGGGGCTTGGTTTGTGTTTAAATAATTTGGGATATATTCCATAGCTGGCTGGAGATCATTAGAAGGATGCTGTTTTATTGCAGTTTGCATAACACTAAATCAATAAACACATTCAAGCAGATGGAAAGCAAAACACAGGAGGAAAGTAGCACTATTTGGAGGAGAAAAGGGGTAGCAAAGAGCACTCCTCACTGGTAGCTGTGCCTGGAAAACACAAGCAGATGCTCTCACAGCAGAGACCTGATCTAACATCCACCTGGCAGCTCCCCAGGGCCGGGACATGCCCCAAAGACAGCAGCTCTCAAAGGGCACCCAGTCCTGTGACAAGCAAAATATCACCATTTATTGCAGCCGTGACCTGCTGCACGGCAAGTAATGAGGAATTTTCCATTTCAAACTTTAATGCAATAATTAAGACATCCATTAAGGTCTTTACAGTTTGGCTGCTTGTAATTAAAAATGGGGTGATGGGGGGGCAGTGGCAGGGAGCTGCAGTCCAGAGCATCCAGCTCCCACCTGCAGCTTCTCTCTGTTTCCCTTTCTTCTCTGTTTGGTTTCTCTCTTCAAAACAATTTTTCTGGTTTGGTTTGTAACTGTCCCCAGAGCATGAAAAACACGTGAAGAACATTCTTAAGTTCCCAAAAGTACAACTTGGGTTTTAAAAAGAGCTTTTACCTTCTCCAAAATACCAATCCTCCTGCGGTGCAGTTCGTGGGAGTGTCTCTGAGCAGTGCCAGAGGTTTTATGCTCCAGTTGGTTTCCAGACTGGTGTAGCTCCTGCTTACACAGTTCCTGGTGCAGGATTGAGGGTGGGGTAGGTTTTAATCCAATAATGGAATGAGATGAAACCCCCATATGAACCCACATCTTCTAAAGTGTCTCTGCTCCTGGGAGGCCCGAGTCCCATTATCCAGTAATTGGATTTGGCCTTCTAAAGCAGGACCGAAATACTGGAAAATTTTGTCCCCAAATCACCAGATTTTTGCAAAGGATTAAGAAAAATTAATGATTTGACTGAGGAAGTAGCTGCCAGAGAAGCTTTGGCTGATCCTTTGAATCCCTTCCTGAATTACTTTTCCCTGCTCTTTACAACTCCCAATATGTGGGTGACTCTCTCTTGTGTCTCCAAACACAATGCTG